CTAATAGAAATCAAATTCTTTATAAAGACTGCATAGGCTAGGGTTAAATTTAGATGCTTGATGTGTTTAGTATCTGAGCCAGATTGTAGTCATGTCACCACAGATTCATTTTCTTTACAAATTGTAAAAATTAAAATAGTAGTCTAGGCTCATGTTTAAATCAATTTTTTGTATTTTGTAGATTTTGTGGTTTTTAGAACTAATATTGTTTAATGTTCTCCATAAATGTATAGGGTTTAATAGGAATATAGAGAGAATTTTTAGAGCTCAGATGGACTTTAGAGAATACCATAAATCAACCTGTTCATCAAATAAAGAAATTGTGTAGGCACAGTGAATGAAAAGTCCAGCTAGTACTCTTTTTCTTATAAAAAAAAATAAAAAGATGTATTTATTTATTTGTGAGGCAGAGTTACAGAGACAGGAGTCTTCCATGTGCTGGTTCACTCCTCAAATGGCTGCGATAGCCAGAGCTGGGCTGATCCAAAGCCAGAAGCCAGGAGCTTCTTCCAAATCTCCCACATGGGTGCAGGGACCCAAGGACTTGGGCCATCCTCCACTGCTTTCCCAGGCCATTAGCAGGGATCTGGGTTGGAAGTGGAGCAGCCAGGACTCAAACGGCACCCATTTGGGAGACAGGCACAATAGGTGGAGGCTTAACCTACTATGCCACAGCACCAACCCCAGCTAATACTCTGTATGTGATATAGATGCATCTTTACAGAAGGAAGAACTGCCAAATAATCATTAAATTGTTATTGTTGCTCTAGATTTTCATCTGATTGTTATGAATCAGCAGAACATAAAAAGTTATGGGATGGGCATTTGGACTAGTGACTAAGATGCCAGTTGGGATGCTCACATCCCATATCAGAGTACCTGGGTTCCAGTCCTGGCTCTGCTCCTGATTCCAGCTTCCTGCTAGTACAGAGTGGGAGGTCACAGTGATGGCTCCTGTGGTTGAGCCTTTGCCATCCATGTGGGAGACCTCAATTGAGTTCCCAGCTCCTGGCTTCAACCATCATGGTCATTTAGGGAGTGAACCAATGGATGGGACCACTCCTTCTCTCTTAATCTCTGTCTCATGGTTTCTTAAATAACGTTTGTTTTTTAAAAAACGAAAATCTATTAAAAATAAAATTTAGTATTGCTATCAGGGTGTATATAATATCTGTGTGAATGTTTTTCTCTTAACATTATAATCCTTTATTTTTAAATTGCAAATAAGGTTGCCCTATTTGCTTGTTGATGCCTATGTTGCTAGCAATTGAGATATCTCTCACTTTTTCCTATTATAAAAGAACTGCCGTGCACACTTTTTATCAAGTTACTCTCCTGCACTCCCCTGGCTTGTCCCCCTCACACACATATCAATTAATTGGTAGAGAATATTCCCACAAATTAATCAAGAAATAGTATTACATTCTAGTTAGTGGTAATTGGGCCCAAGCTCATTTTACAAGTCATTGGTTATTGGAAACTCAAATATTAGAGATTTGACTGACAGTAAGTCTACTTAGGTGTTTGCTTAAAAAATGTTTAAAAAGATTTATTTATTTACTTGAGAGACAGAGTTACAGAGAGTAAAAAGGAGAGGGAGAGACACAGAGAGAGAGATCTTTCATCTGTTAGTTCACTACCCAAATGGCTGCAATGCCTGGGGCTGGGTCAGGCCAAAGCCAAGAACCAGGAACTCCTTTTGATTCTCCCACATGGATTGCAGGGACTCAAACACTTGAGCCATCTTCTGCTTCTTTCGCAGGCATATTAGCATGGAGCTAGATTGGAAGTAGGACAGCTGAAACCCAAGTGTGGCACTCCTGTGCGGTGCCAGCATTGCAGGCAGTGGCTTAACCCACTGTGCCACAATGCTGGTCCCATGTGGCTGCTTTTTATTAGGTAGAAAAATTTTTAGGTGCCGGCACTGTAGCGTAGTGGGTAAAGTCGCCACCTGCAGTGCCAGCATCCCATATGGGCAGAGTCCTGGCTGCTCCACTTCCAATCCAGCTCTCTGCTATGGCGTGGGAAAGCAGTAGGAGATGGCTCAAGTCCTTGGGTCCCTGCACCCATGTGGGAGACCCAGAAGAAGCTCCTGGCTTCAGATCAGTGCAGCCCCAGCAGTTGCAGCCATCTGGGGAGTGAACCAACAGATGGAAGACCTCTCTTTCTTTCTCTGCCTCTCCTCTCCGTGTAACTGTGACTTTCAAGTAAAACAAATAAATCTTTAAAAAAAAAAAAAGAAAAAAAATTTTTACCTACATGGAGTGAGTTACAAAGAGAGTTTTTAAGGTAAAGGAACAAGAAAGTTTGAGAAGATTCTGGAGAAATCTGATTTCTCCTGAGCCCGATTTTCAGAATGTTGTTTTGCTCTCTTTCAGAGTGTATCAGGTGCACTCCAATTGTTAAAAGAGAGACAGGACTATTTTAAAAGATAAATACATATTTTTAGATTCACCATAAATAGGCTTCCTTCAATTAGTGCAGATGTGAGCATATTTTAGATTTAATATCACATAACTCTTTTCTTACAGAGATCCACTTTCATTTCTTAGACCTTAAGACAGGGAGTTTCTGTCTTTATAGCTGTCCTGATGGCATGGAAATCTTACGGCCAAATGGGTGGGGATCTGTGGTACAAGGCCACAGAGATAAAAATGGAAGGAAAAAAAGGAAAAGTGTAAGGGACAGGGCTGTGTTACAAAGGTGAGCCTGACTACATGCAGCTGCTTCTCTGGGAGCCGGGGCTTCTTTAAAATTGTGAAAGAAACAAGCCCTTTCTTTATTTTTAGTTTATTTTTAGAAGAGGTCATAAATTCATATAGAGCAAAATTCAAATGAAAACTCTCCTTCAGTTGTGATCCCCAGTGACTCCATTCCTCTCTTTGAGGCAACTGGTGTTACTAATTGTGTGATTATGTTCCCAGAAGGGGGTTGTGCCTGTATGTGTGTAAGTAAGTAGTATGTATATGAGGGAGCTTCAGAAAGCTCATGGGAATTGTGCATTATCTTTCAATTCCACTTTTCCATGAACCTTTTGTAACCCCTCCTATGAACATATATGTATTTTTCTTCTTTTTAAGGAATAGTTGCATAATACACACATTGTGCTCTGCCTTGCTTTTTCACATAACACTAACTCTTGGAAATGATTCTATACCCATGGAAAGCTTTTGCACTCTTTGAAAGCACTTTTAAAATGTCATGTGTCTACATTGGTTGAAAGTAACACTTCATCCATGGATTAGGCATCGGAATTAGACCTATGATATGATAGTGTTTAGGAAATGTAAGGGAGTGAATTATTTTACTAATTTAAGATACAAATGGGAAGAGGCTGAAAGCTGAGATTTGCTTGAAATTCCGAAACTGTTGTCTCAGCCCTGACCCTGGAACCTAGTGATGTCATCACAAAATTTACATCTGTTGTAAGGAAGTATCAGCAATTCCCTATAATGGAGCAGGTGTTTGGTCTAGTGGTTAAGACACCACTTGGGACACCCTCATCCTATAAGGGAGTGCCTGGGTTGAATCCCAGCTCTGCTGTCCAATCCAGGTTCCAGCTAACGTACACCCTTGGGGGCAGCAAGTGATAGCCCAAGTACTTCGGTCCCTGCCACCCACATCAGTGACCTGGAATGAGTTCCCTGCTCCTGACTTCTGCCTGGCCCAGCCACAGCTATTGTGGGCATGTAGGGAGTAAACAGGCAGATGGGAGCTCTTTGTCTGTGTTTCTCTGTCTCTCTGCCTCTCAAATAAATAAATAAAAGTTTTTAAAAATTCCATTAACTCTTTATGTTGGAAGATGTCAATGAGAAGAGATAACCTCTGGAGGTAGGGAAGAATGGAGTTATGGAATGGCCTGTAGATTCCAGGAGTCCGGGACATGGAGCTGGCTCCTCTGAGGGCTGCTCTTCAAATGCAAACAAGGAGGTTAGAGTGCATTGTTTCAGTAAGCCTTCTAGCTCTGAAGTTGTGTCACTTACAATTCCACGATTTCCTGGCTGATCAACAATTTGCACATTTGTCATGTTGAAACTGCGTTTATGGAGACATAAAAAATGAGGTGGCCTTTCTCAAAGATGATAAAGAGACACACAGGTTATCTATAAAAATATGATTGTTAACATTCCAATATTATACCACAGAAAGTAATTTATAATGATTAGATTCCTCATAACAATTTATCACGCAAACTATTACGATAGAAGCAGACTTATAGAGATAGGAAACTTATCCCACACTTCGACAAGAGTTGTATAAATCTTTGTAGGTTTTTTTTTTTTTTTTTGACAGGCAGAGTGGACAGTGAGAGAGAGAGAGACAGAGAAAAAGGTCTTCCTTTTGCCATTGGTTCACCCTCCAATGGCCGCCGCGGCCAGCGTGCTACGGCCTGCTCGCTGCGGCCGGCGCACCTCGGCCGGCGCACCGCGCTGATCCGATGGCAGGAGCCAGGAGCCAGGTGCTTCTCCTGGTCTCCCATGGGGTGCAGGGCCCAAGCACCTGGGCCATCCTCCACTGCACTCCCTGGCCACAGCAGAGAGCTGGCTTGGAAGAGGGGCAACCAGGACAGAATCCGGCGCCCCAACCGGGACTAGAACCCGGTGTGCCGGCGCCGCAAGGCGGAGGATTAGCCTAGTGAGCCGCGGCGCCAGCCAATCTTTGTAGTTTTAACCTTTTATCAGATAAGAAAAAGTTATGAGGATATTAAAGTTCTAGTAAATATACAAATTCACAAAAAATGCACATTATCTTTTAATTCCATTTTCCATTAAGTTTTTGAAGTAACCTCATAATTATTATAAATGATAAATAATGTACTAGTGGGTTTTTAAAAAGTTAATGGAAAATGCATATTATAAAAAAATTGAGCATGAATTTTTTTTCCCACCATCTTTTAACTCCATTTTTTTCCACAGATTTCCCCCTTGTATATTATTAACGTAGTAGTTAATAGTAAATATAATTTATAGTAAAATAAATCTCTTTTCTCTTTATTTCAGTTAAATATGAGAGTGAAGCTAGTAAATATTGGAACACATTTTACAAGATTCATAAGAATAAATTTTTCAAGGACCGTAATTGGCTGTTGAGGGAATTTCCTGAAATTCTTCCAGTTGATCAAAAACTTAAAGAGAAGACGGAAGAATCGTCTTGGGATTGCGTGAAAACTAATTCTGCAAATTGTTCCTCAGAAATGCACTATCCTACTATGCCCGAAGGAAGAACTCACTATAAAAAAAGTTCTGGCTCATCAGATGGTCAAAGCAAAGTAGGGTCTAATTTTTCCCACCCAGACTCTGAAGAACACAGAAAAAGCTGTCTGAAAGCTGAATTTTTTCCTGGTAGCAATGCCACTTTCAGAATACTGGAGGTACTGTGCTCAGGGGACAAAGACAGAAAGTAATGATTTTAAAATGTACATTCCATATTATTTTATCAAAAGTCCAGTTCTTAGGTGCAATATGATCAGATCTAAATAAGTGCTCAGTATTCTTGAGTGCAAAACTAATATTTAAGGAACTCACATCTTTAACGTCAAGTTATATGTTTATAGTTATAATTTTGCTGTTATTGCTTTTTTTAAAAAAAATTTGTTTTCTTTCAAAATTGAGGGCAATTTTAAGTGCCAGTGAAGTGTTGGCCTTAATTTTACCCTCTGTGATTATATCTTTTTAAATGCAATGGAAATATGAAATAAATAATTTTCTATAATCTGTCATAGAATTTGGTTTTTTATTTTTTTTTTAAGATTTATTTACTTATTTGAAAGGCAGAGTTATAGAGCGGGAGAGAGAGAGAGAGATTTTCCATCCACTGTTTCACTCCCCAAATGACCAGAAGGGCTGGAGCTGGGCTGATCTGAAGCCAGGAGTTTCCTTCAGGTCCCCCATGTGGGTACAGGGGCCTAAGTACCTGGGCCATCTTCCACTGCTTTCCCTGGGGCATTAGCAGGGAGCTGGATTGGAAGTGGAACAACTAGAACCTGAACCGGTACCTGTAAAAGATGCTGGCACTGCAGGCTCTACCTGCTATGCCACAGCACCAGACCCTGGTTTTCTATTTTTGAAACTAATCCGTATCTTTGTTACTTCAGAATGCTCACAGAAATACAGGACTAAACAGTCAATTTGGGTACAAAAAGCTTTGAAATCTAAGCATATAAGGGGTCTTCAAAAAGCTTATGGAAAATAAATATTATGAAAAACTACAGGGCCAGTGCTGTGGTGTAGCGGGTAAAGCCGCCACCTGCAGTACTGGCAATCCCATGTGGGCGCTGGTTCAAGTCCTGATTGCTCCACTTCCGATCCAGCTCTCTGCTTTGGCTCAAGTTCTTGGGCCCCTGCACCCACATGGGAGACCTGAAAGAAGCTCCTGGCTTCGGATCAGCGCAGCTCCAGGCATTGTGGCCAGTTGGGGAATGAACCAGCGGATGGAAGACCTCATATATATATCTGCCTCTGCCTCTTTGTAACTTTGCCTTTCAAATAAATAAAATAATAAATAAAATAAAATAAAAATAAAATAATTTTTTAAAAAAGAAAAGAAAAACTGCATGGATTCCCAATTTTTTGTACCAAAATAAACTTATCTTTTAATACCAATTTTACATACTTTTTGAAGTACTCTCATATGTTGATTACAAATAACTTGCTAAAGATCAGAGAAATGAAATTACCCAGAGTCCTACAAAGAATTTAACCACTGTTAACATTTTCCTGACTTTTTTCTCCTTTTGATTATACTGTTCATATATTTTGGGGTTTTGCCTTGTTTCTACTTAACATTATATCATGAGCAGTTTTCCCTATCTTTAAAAATTCTCTGTAAACACTTTGAAGGCTACAAGTGATTTGCTATGTGGAGTTCTATAATTTTACTTGCATGTTTTCAGCTGTTGGCCACTTAAATTGTTTTCAGGTTTTCTTCAGTAAACATCTTTTGGTATAAACTTTAGCTACACTTTTCTTTTATGGTCTTAGGTTAGATTTACTAGTTCATCATTTCTAAGAAGTTTTACTAATATTATGCTAATATACAATAATATTAATTCCATGGCAATGTGTCTGTTTCATCACATCTTCATTGATTAAAATATTCTTTTTTTTTTTTTTTTTTGACAGGCAGAGTGGACAGTGAGAGAGAGAGAGACAGAGAGAAAGGTCTTCCTTTGCCGTTGGTTCACCCTCCAATGGCTGCCGCGGCCGGCGCACCGCGCTGATCCGATGGCAGGAGCCAAGAGCCAGGTGCTTTTCCTGGTCTCCCATGGGGTGCAGGGCCCAAGCACCTGGGCCATCCTCCACTGCACTCCCTGGCCACAGCAGAGAGCTGGCCTTGGAAGAGGGGCAACCGGGACAGAATCTGGCGCCCCGACCGGGACTAGAACCCGGTGTGCCGGCGCCGCAAGGAGGAGGATTAGCCTAGTGAGCCGCGGCGCCGGCCTAAAATATTCTTATTTTAGAGTTTTTGACCTTCTTAGACAAATATTGTACCTTGTCTTAATTTGCATTTCTTTGATTATTAAATGGGTCATTTCATTCTTCAAATGTTTAGAAGCCATTTCTACTTCTTTGTGTTCCATCTATTTCCTTTTTTTTAAAGATTTATTTTATTTATTTGAAAATTAGAGTTACAGAGAAAGAAAGGGAACAATAAAGAAGGAGAGAGATTTTCCATCCGCTGATTCATTCCCAAAATAGCCACAACAGCCAGGGCTGGAGCAGGCCAAAGCCAGGAGCCTGGAGTTTCATCCAGGTCTCTCACGTGGATGCAGGGCCCAGGCACTTGGGCCATCTTCTGCTGCTTTCCCGGGCACATTAGCAGGGAGCTGGATCAGAAGTGGAGCAACTGAAACTTGAACCTGTGCCCATATGGGATGCCAGAGTCACAGGCAGTGGCTTAACCCATTGCACCATAACACCAATCCTCCTTTGCTTTTTTATCTGATTTTATTTAATGAGTTCTGCCCTTTTGTTCACAGTGTGTTGATTGCCTTTTACTTTGGTTTATTTGAGTGTGTGTAAAAATTCTAAATATTTCTATGGTCAAATTTCTAAATGTTATTCTTGTGGTTTGGCTTATTGCTTTTGAGTTTAGAAAATTCTACCATACCAAGAAATCCAATAAATTCGTTCCTGTTTTTTAAATAGGAAATTTGACCTTGGTGATGAAAATTTAACCTTGTTTTCATGATATTTGTCTATTCTCTTGATTTTAGGTCGGCTGTGGTGCTGGAAATAGTGTGTTTCCAATTTTGAACACCTTGCGGTAAGTTCTTGGCATTTCCTCCTACAGAATTTTACATATTTATGTGATGTAGAGAAATTCTAGAAAAATGTTATCATGGATATATGCCAGCCAGTAGTGTTCTTACTTCTCATGTAAACAATGACTAAAGCAATTTCAAAAGAAGTGTCTTAATCTTAGTGTCTGTTTTCACATGAACTGGGAATTACTCTAAAAATAGTGTTTCACAGCCATGAGCTGTCCATCATGGGTTTGAAGTAATGTTGTAAGCTTGTTATGTGAATGAGAAAATAAGAAAAGAACAAGGTATTTGATCCTTCCACTCAACTGTAAATTGCTGAATTTCAGAGATTATTTGCTCTTCCTGGATACTTGGATATCATTTTACACATAGAGAACTGAAGCTAAAACTTAGACTTTAATCCTCATTTTGTTTTATCATCACTCCTGGAACAACACCCAGTACAAGGCCTTTACATGTCAAGTGATTGTGTCTAGGCTTGAAATTATTTGGAGGTAGGAAGAACTAACCTGAAGACTCAAAGCAGAAGTCGACAAAGGGATAGCGGCTCTCTTCTGCTGCACCCTTCTGGTTCACCTGCAAGTCCCAGTATTTCCATGATGAACCAGATGCACCTTACAAAAGAACCCTTTACTATGCCTAGTATGTCATTATATTCTTTTTTATGTTTTTTATTTATTTATTTATTTTTGACAGGCAGAGTGGACAGTGAGAGAGAGAGAGACAGAGAGAAAGGTCTTCCTTTACCGTTGGTTCACCCTCCAATGGCTGCCACGGCCGGCACACTGTGGCCGGCGCACTGCGCTGATCCGAAGGCAGGAGCCAGGTGCTTCCTCCTGGTCTCCCATGGGGTGCAGGGCCCAAACACTTGGGCCATCCTCCACTGCACTCCCGGGCCACAGCAGAGAGCTGGCCTGGAAGAGGGGCGCCCGGACAGGGACTAAAACCCGGTGTGCCAGCACCACAGGCGGAGGAATAGCCTATTGAGCCGCGGCGCCGGCCTTTATTTTTATTTGTAAGGTAAAGCAAGAGAGAAAGATGTTCCTTCCCTAAATGCCTGCAAACAGCCAGGACTAGGCCAAGCTGAAGCCAGAAGCCCAGAATTCCATCCAGGCCTCCCATGTGGGTAGAGGGCCCCAAGTAGTTGAGTCATTATCTGCTGCCTCCCAAGTCATATTATCTGGAAGCTGTGTTGGAAGCAGAGGAACCAGGACTCAAACCATCACTACAACAGGGGATTTAGCTGTCCCAGGCAGCTGCACCCTGACAGTGGCCCCAAGTTATATTCTTATGTATTTTTTAAAGCTTACACAATAGCTTTTACATTATTTTCCATTATGAAGTCAGTGTAAGCACAGTGCAGAACATTTTCACTAGAGGAAAAAGTAGAGAGGTGGGGTTCATCCATCATCATAACGTAACCACTGGTAGAATTTTTGTTTTAATTCCTTTCAGTCTTTATGTATATTTTTAAATTTAATGATGTGATCTTTTCAACTTTTCTTTATGAAAATGTAAAATCCTTTGGAAAAGCAAAGAGTAGAATAAATTTCCTTACACCCATCACCTCAATTCAACAATCATTAACATAATGCCAACATCATGACACTTTATCTTTGATTATTCAGGACGTATCTCAAAAAAAAAAAAAACCCAGGACATTCTCCAATACTCTTATAAATCTAACATAATGAATATTAAGTAATTTCTTAATATCATCTAATGACCAGTTAAGGGTAGTCAGACATAGATGCTGCTATGAATTTATAGCTCCGAATGGTCTTTCTCTTTCTGTATTTATTATCTTTGTTTTTTTCTTTTTCCAGTTTCTGGGCTCAAACAGTTTCTTGTTCCCTGATAGCTAAAACCTGATAGCCTGGTTTCTTTACCCCAGCAATCTCTGAACTTCTAATACACATAAATATACAACATTGACAGTTGACTGTGTGTCACTCTGTGACTGATCCTTAGATCTTATTTAGCACATTATTTCTTCATGCGTTGTCTATCCAACCACTTTTTATATTCCTTTAGAGTGTACTTTATCCTAATTTGATTTTCCAGATTGCCTAACTGTGCAGTGGAGATAGTTAGTCATCAATACATACTGACTGATTAGTGTCTCTGAGCCCCCACTCGTTGTTTGTATTTTTCCCTTTCTACTTCTCCCTCCAGCTACTCATCAGAAGCTCTTAGCCCCTCCCTCCCTTACTTTTTCTTCTTGACTTTGTCCTTCTGTGTCTACTGCCCATGTTTTCAACATCATCATATAAAGCTTGAGATACTGAATTCATCTTTAAAAGACAGCTGGTGACCAGTCTTCCAAAAGGAGGCTTAGACTTCCCCCACCCCCACCTATGAAATTATGTTTTGTTACTTTTGGAGAGTAAAGGATTAATGTTTCACATTTTCAGAATATTTTACCATAATTAGAGCTCTGGAATTGAGAGGTCATATCATTCTCCAAGGATCATTTAATTCTTAAACCCCCTGCCAAGAGAATGCTTGGCGTTGTGGTGGTGGTAGTGATATTTACACCTGTTAGCTGGGACAAGAGCCAAGGCAGTCAGTCAGCTGATTTTACAGGAAGGCTCTGGAAAGTCATTGGGTGGTCATAAGACTCCAGCTTGGGGTGCTGATGCAGTGGGAATTCAGTCTCAGAGGTCACGCAGCCACTCTGGTAGGACACATGGCAAGGGGCACCTGCTTTCCTCTAGCTCCTAGACTGTTCTGAATGTTGTGGACTTTCAGAGATTACTGCCCCAAAGTAGACTGCAGACTTTTCATAATGAGCTTATAGAACTTTGTGAAACACCATGCTAGTTTTTTTTAAGTTCCTAGAAGGTGGAAACAGATTTCCTTTAATAATAATAGAAACAACAGTAATAATAATTACCAATACCGGCCGGCGCCGTGGCTCAACAGGCTAATCCTCCGCCTTGCGGCGCCAGCACACCGGGTTCTAGTCCCGGTCGGGGCACCAGATTTTGTCCCGGTTGCCCCTCTTCCAGGCCAGCTCTCTGCTGTGGCCCGGGAGTGCAGTGGAGGATGGCCCAAGTCCTGGGGCCCTGCACCCCATGGGAGACCAGGAAAAGCACCTGGCTCCTGCCTTCGGATCAGTGCAGTGCGCCAGCCGCAGCGCGCTGGCGGCGGCGGCCATTGGAGGGTGAACCAACGGCAAAAGGAAGACCTTTCTCTCTGTCTCTCTCTCTCTCACTGTCCACTCTGTCAAAAATAATAATAAAAAAAATAATTACCAATACCTATTGGGTGCTTATTCTGAGTCAGGCACCTTTCCAAGAGCTTTTTCCTATATAAATCCATTCAGGCCTCACGACCACCTTAAATACTGTATTCATCTCTGATTTAAAGATGTGGAAATGGGCCAGCACCATGGCATAGTGAGTAAAACTGCTACCTGTGGCGACAGCATCCGTTATGGGTGCCAGTTTGAGACCCAGCTGCTCCACTTCCAATCCAGCTCCCTGCTAATGCATCTGGGAAAGCAGTGGAGGATGGTCCAGGTCCTTGGCCCCTGTACCCATGTGGGAGACCCAGAAGAAGCTCCTGACTCTTGGCTTCGGATCAGCCCAGCTCTGGCCACTGTGGCCATTTGGGGAGAGAACCAGGAAATGGAAGATATTCTCTCTCTCTCTCTCTCTCTCTCTCTCTCTCTCTCTCTCTAACATTCAAATGAAATAAATAAATTGTTAAAGGCGGGGAGGGACAGCACTATGGTGCAGTGGGTTAAAGCCCCAGCCTGCAGTTCTGGCATCCCATATGGGTACCAGTTGGAGTCCCAGCTGCTCCACTTCCAATCCAGCTCCCTGCTGATGGCCTGGAAAAACAGTGGAGGATGGCCCAAGTCCTTGGGCCCCTGTACCCATGTGGGATACCTAGGAGAAGCTCCTGGCTCCTGGCTTTGGATCAGCTCATCTCCAGCCATTGCAGCCATCTGGGGAGTGAACCAGCAGATGGAAGACCTCTGTCTCCCCCTCTCTTTGTCTGTAATTCTACTCTCAAATAAATAAAATCTTAAAAAAAAAAAAAAAAAAGATGAGGAAACATCTCTAGGCCACACAACTCAGTGGGAGAGGCAGGAATCAAAGCATAGACAGTCTGACTCCAGAGCTCTCATAGTGCCATATGCATCTGAGTGTTAGCTGAACATTTCAACCACATAAGAAACAACAGGGGTAGATGCTTTAATAATATACTGTTTTTATAAGAGACATGTGAGAAAAGACCAAGGAGTCAAACTTTAGCTTTGATTCAATACTGGTTAACTTTTCATAACCAAGTCCTGTTCATCACACTTTAACTTACTTGGACAGATCTTAAACTGAATGCAACCCCCTACATTCATTCAACAGAATGAATAAATTTTGTATGAACATAGTAGTCATCAATGAGTAGCCGATAAATATCATTAGAATCTGGATGAGATTTTGTTAAATACACACTTGTTTATAACCCATATTTATTTAGAAGTCCACCTCTATTAATTCACTTTCATTACATTAAGAAAGGAAGAAAGTTTATTTCAGTTTACAGTTTGGAGACTCACAGTCTAAGATTGGCCCCTTTGGTTCAAGCTTCGGGTGAGTCTGGTGAGGCTGGAAGATGGCAAAGGCGCAACAACCTGGCACGACAGGAAGCATGCTTGGCTTATGAAACCAACCCTCTCACAAAGAACTAGCTTCCAGGGGCAAACCACCAGTGACCTAAAGATTGCCCACTAAACCCACCTCCTAGACACCATAGTTAGATCAAGTCTTCACCCATGCAGGCCATCGTGTGGCACAGTGGGATAGAGCCATAGCCTGCAGTGCTGGCATCCTGTATGGGTGCCAGTTCAAGTCCCTGCTACTCTACTTTCCATCTAGCTCCCTGCTAATGTGCCTGGAAAGGCAGTGGAAGATGGCCCAAGTGCTTGGACTGCTGCCACCCACATGGGAGACCCAGATGGAGTTCCAGGCTCCTGTCTTTGGCCTGGCCCAGACCTAGCCATTGCAGTCATTTGAGAAATGAAACCAGCAGATGAAAGATCACTTTCTGTCTCTGTCTCTCTGTAACTGACTTTCAGATAAATAAATAAATCTTTCTTTTTTTAAGTCTCTACCCTTAATCTATCAATCATTAACATTAATCCATTGACCATAAATATAAGACTTTGGGGTTTAGACATCTGCCTGAGTTTGGGGATCCATAGCCTGTTCAAACTGTAACACTGTCTTATTTGAAATGCCTCTTGAATCAAATTAGAAGGCCTAAATATGTGCTTCAAGGCCTTTATCCTGCCACAGGATATAAAGCTCTGCTTTCATTCCTGGCGTGTGATTCCCACCTGTAAATGCTTATCCCGTTGCCCCTTTCCTCACTTAGCATAATGTCACCCTCCTTCTTCAGAGCTTTTAAGACTTACACCTCAGAGTGCCAGCCCTGTCCACACCCCTATAGAAGTTGTGTAAAACCAATCACGTCCTCAGCTAGACTATAAAATCCACAAGAGCCAGAACCATACTTACAGTTACTGTTTAATGACATACTGACCTCTGTGATTCAGCCATGATACTAAGTAACATGGTACAAGGATTATTTGATACCAGCGTATAAAGGATGATCAGGAGGGGTACTGCCCACAAAATTCAGGGTGTGTGCCTGCACCTGATTAAGCAGAGTCCAGCCATAATTACTGAATTTCAAACAGGCCAAACAGAATGTGTTTAAGAGAAAGCCAATGTAAATTAGTCAAGGAGCGTGCATTTGACCCTTTGGTTAAGACACCAGTTAGGACTAGCATGCCCATGTCTTACTGGGGAGTGCCAGGGTTCAGTCCCCAGCTCCAGCTCCCAATGTCAGCTTCCTACTAATGCAGATCCTGGAAGGTTCAGATAGTTGGGTTCCTGTCACCCACTTGGGAGATTTGATTGACTTCTAGCTCCTGGCTGTGGCCCTGCCCAGCCCCAGCCATTGCAAGCATTTGTGTGTCCATCTGTCTGACTCTCTGCCTCTCAAATAAATAAGTAAAAATTTGTGATCCAGGAGTCAAACCCAAGTTTATTTGGTTCCGAAGTCTATTTGCTTACTATTGCATTAGACAGTTCCATTTACTACTTTGTATGCAAGTGCTTGGTAGTGCATGATGCTCAATAAATGTTTGACAATAACTTGAAAAGAACACCAAGAATTCATATGTCAGTGTTTTATTCTTTTTTAGAAGTTTTATTTACATGTTGTTAAAAAAAATCTGTGTGTGTTTCTGCCTTATCAAGGCATCAGAGCCTAGTCAAATGACTTGTACTGAAAGGAAGAGGAGTGAAACACCAGGACTCAGAGGCCAGGGAGAATTGGGGGTTCCGGGAGAATCGGAGCAGGTGGAAGGGGGCTGAGCTCAGAGGAGCTGCGTCATCTGCCAGTGGAGGCAGAGGGGAAGAAAGGAGATTGGAGCGGTGCTGGCCCACGTGGGAATACGATGGGAGGAGTGGCAGATTGGCCCAAGTACTGAAGAACGTTAAAACTGGGCTGTGGTTGGAAAATTACCCTGTCATTAATGAGTGCCTGGGACGTGCCAGTTCAGGAGCAACAGGAAGGCACCCACACACTAGTATAGAAAACAGTATTCACAAAGAAGGAACAATGAGCCCAGTATCAGCCAAAATCCTATTAAGGAAACACTTATTAACAGTTTCCTTTCTTCTCGAGGTGGGCAGATCTAGATTCTAGATGTAATCATTTCCTCTGATTTCACAGGAATATTCCGGGGGCCTTTCTTTACTGCTGTGACTTTGCTCCTGGAGCTGTGGAGCTCATAAAGGTATGTCTCATGCTCTTTCAGAGCGCCCATGTCTAGTTTTTTTTTTTTTTTAAGATTTATTTATTTACTTGAAAGTCAGAGGGAAGGAGAGACAGAGAGAGAGGTCTTTCGTCCACTGGTTCACTCTCCAATTGGCTGCAACATCTTGGAGCTGTGCCGATCTGAAGCCAGGAGCTTCTTCCAGGTCTCTCATGCGGGTGCAGGGGCCCAAGGACTTGGGCCATCTTCCACTGCTTTCCCAGGCCATAGCAGAGAGCTGGATCAGAAGTGAAGCAGCTGGGACTTGAACCAGCACCCATATGGGATGCTGGCACAGAAGGCAGTGGCTTTACCCGCTACACCACTGTGCCAGCCCATAGTTTCTTTTGAAAGGGTTCTTTGGAACATTGTTTCCAGATCAAATGTTATCTGTGACCATTTTTAACTGAGATGTTATGATTTCTACAAATAATACCATCAACTGATGGCAAAGATCTCACCCTAAAACCATCGAAATTGTTTTGAATTTAAGATAGATCTTGGAGGACTGGTACAGCAAAGAGAGCTGACCAGGCAGGGCTGACTACAAAATTCAGAGGCTTACACCTGTCTGTGAATAGCCATGCTCCAAATAGAACTTCTTAAAATTAGGCAAGGTTTTCATATGGGTAAGCACCCACCTCTACTACCATCAAAACAAACAAACAAAAAAAAAATACTTGACTTTTCAATTATCTCCTGCAAAGGGATTTTATTCATATCTGTGTCCCTGGAGCCTTTCACACAGTCTGCACATAGGAGGATATCATTAAATTAAAACTATGGAAATTAAAAAAAAAATCTGAGAAGGCCAACGTCATACATTGTAAGAAAAACAATGGGGAACTTAGACTTATTGATGAATCCCTGAATGCAAGTGAACATTACCTTAGAATGAAGAGCAAATGGAAAAGGAAAGGAAATTCTGCTAACAAAACTATAGTACAAACACATAAATTAAGTAAAACTTTTTTTTAGAAAAAGTGACAACTTTATATCTGATCATAAAAGTAATATTTTTTTCTTAAATACTAACAAGGCTAAAGAGGAAGATACTAATTAACTTGTAATTACCCTAACGAGGGTAGATTATTGTGAATGTTTTGATATATATCCTTCTGATGTGTCTGTAGGCAAATTTTGTGTGTGTCACTCTAAGGCAGTTTTTAAAGTAACAGCTTTATGGAAATCTGGTTCACATACCCTAAAGTACACCATTTTGAAGACTACAATTCAGGAGTGGCCATTTGGCCTAGTGGTTAAGACCCTGGTTAAAATGCCTGCATCCCTTATTGGAGTGCCCGAGTTCAATACAGGCTCCAGCTCCTGTCTCAGGTCCTGCTCACGAAGATGTTGGGAGGCATGGTGCTGGCTCAGGTGACTGGGTTCCTCCCACCCACATAGAAACTTACATAAGAGTTCCTGGCTTCAACCAATCCCACCCTTCCCTGCCCTGGCTGCTGTGGGTGTTTGGGGGAGTGAACCAGTAGATGGCTGCTCGCTTATACGTGCTTGCTCTCCTGCTCTCATTTAGTGTGTCACAGTCGGTCACGTGGCCTAGTAGTTAAGACACTGGCTGAGATGCCTACATCCCGTATCTGAGTACCTGGATTTAATACCTGCCTCTGGCTACTGACTGCAGCCTCCTGTTAATGTAGATACTGGGAGGCAGTGGCAGTGGCTCAGGTGAATGGGTTCTTGTCACCTGTGGATACCTGGATTGTGTTCCTGGAACCAGCTTCTACCTGGCTCAGCCCTGGTCATTGTGAGCATCTGGGCAGTAAACCAGTGGATGAGCACTTTATCTACATGCCTGTCTGTCTTCCTCTGTGTGTCTGTCTGCTTCTTGAATAAATTTAAAAATTTTAAGTTGAAAAAAAAAAAGCATTCAATTCAGTGTTTTGTAGTATATCTTCAGATATGTGCCACCACTGCCATTATCTAACTTTGAGTGTATACTGTGTGAGATATGTGTGTTTTAAGCCAAAAAAGGCCAGGAAAAGCAATGGGAGGTGAAGGAGGAGTTGACCATCACAGTGCCTCCAAATGACACAGGCGGGGTCTCTCACTGTGCTTCCCATTGACTGTAAGGCCTGCCCTGCTCTACATTTGTGTCTAGAGAGGGATTATTATTATTTGTTACCATGTCCAAGTACTAGACTTAATTCTGGGGGAAACCTCAGAAATCTGAATATAGACCTACCATATCATCCAGCCATTCCATTCCTGGGAATTTACCCAAAGGAAATGAAATCAGCATATGAGTTATCTGTACCCCCATGTTCATTGCAGCACATTTCACAATAGCTAAGATATGGAATCAACCCATATGTCCAACAACTAGTACTATGGAGTACTACTCAGCTGCAAAAAAAAAAAAAAAAAAAAGCCTGTGTTTTGCAACAAGATGGATGCAACTGGAAACCACTAAACTTAGAGAAATAATCTAGTCCCCCAAAGACAAATATCATGTTTTCCTGGTAACTAATAGAGTACTTAAAACATAAGACATTGGAGTGAAACGGACATTTTGAGATTTGATGATTGTTTACAGCCCTTGTCTCTTCTGTTGAGGAAAAGTGTTTTTTTTTTCCTTTATAGTATTTATTGAACTTAATGTAGGGTTAACTATACGATCATTAAGTAAGCTGAAAATCGATCTTGGTAAAAAGTAAGAGTGGGAATGTGAGAAGGAGGAGGAAGAAGGGTGGGAGCACGGGCGGGAAAGAAAAAAAAAGAAAAGGAAATCCCCGGAGTGTGCTCACCCCTCACTTTGCTCCTCACGCTTCGTCATGACAGTCGCACTCGTCCTACAGAGCTGCCCAGTGCTGCGCCTTTGTTCACGACGTGTGTGACGAGAGCTCACCTTACCCCTTCCCGGATGGGGTCCTGGACGCCATCCTCCTCGTCTTTGTGCTCTCCTCTATTCATCCTGACAGGTAAATGAAGACAAAGGGGCACAGCCAGCGTGGAAAGCTCCTTTCTCAGGAGTGGTTTTCAGACCTATCAAAGCGAAAATGACAATTCCTGAATTTATTATTTAGTGAACTACATTATGTATAATATGCAGCCTTTTAAATGCAGCTTTTCCTTTCTTCAGACCTTTAGAAAGAAACTGGTCAGACTACTTCATTAGTGAGCTTTCTGTCACTGTCAGAGTGAAGTGAGCATCTTCTGGCAAGACACATACCTATTAAAAGTGACAGTGCATCAAGGAGATTACACATTCAGAACAGCCTAATAGACTCCCAAGAGCGAAATTGTACTTGGTGATCAGCAACAAACATCTTTGATGTAGCATCTTCCGGAATGCTCACGAAGAGGCGGGCTGCAGATCTGTTTGGCTTCATACAAGTCTGTTGATAAGCTCTTAAACATTTGTTTTGGAGGCAGATGTTTAGCCTAGTGGTTAAGACACTGATTAGAATGCCCATGTCCCACACCTGAGAACCTGGGTTTGCTACCCAACTCTGGCTCCTGACTTCACCTTCCTGCTCATGCAGACCCTGGGAGGCCATGGTGATGGCTCAAGTAATTGGATTCCTGTCACTCACGTAAGGAGATCTGGATTGAGTGCCCAGCTCCCCAGCTGCTGCCCTGGCCCAGTTTCAACTATCCCAGGCATTTGGGGAATGAACCAGCAGATGGAAGCTCTCTGCCTCTTGTCTCTCTTGATCTCTTTCTCTCTGTGCCTCTCAAACACATAAATTAATATTGATTTTTAAAAATAAAAATTTGTTTTAAAGAAACCCACTAAGGAATTAGGTGTTATTGAGATTTTTTTCTTTTAAGATTTTATGTCATTTGAAAGGCAGAGTTACTGAAACAGAGGGAGTGACAGAGAGAGATCTTCCATCCACTGGTTCACTCCCTAAATGGGCGCAAGGGCAAAGGCTGGGCCAGGCTGAAACCAGGAGCCTGGAACTCCATCCAGGTCTCCATGTGCATGGCAGGGCCCAAGTACTTGGCCCATCTTCCACTGCTTTCCCAGGCATGTTAGCAGGAGCTGAGTCAGAAGCAGGGCAGCTAAGACTTGAACCAGCATTCATATGGAATGTTGCCATTCCAGGCGGCAGTTTAACCTGCTGTGCCATAATGCTGGCTCCAGTATTAGTGAGATTTGACAGATTATCTTTGGACCTTTATGATCTAAGACTGGCCAAGTGCCATCATTTAAATATTTATGACACAACTTTTTAAGTTTGCATATGCATTTAATACTATAAAGTAACTTTGTTCCAGAGAGGAAACATAAAGAGATACAACAACATTAACGATCACCTTTCTTAAAAATGTGACAAAAGGGCCAGCGCTGTGGCGCAACGGGTTAAAGCCCTGGCCTGAAGCGCCAGCATCCCATATGGGCACCGGTTCTAGTCCCAGCGGCACCTCTTCCAATTCAGCTCTCTGCCATGGCCTGAGAAAGTAGTACAAGAAGGCCCAAGTCCTTCCAAGTCCTGGAAGAAGCTCCTGGCTTGGGATCGGCACAACTCCAGCCGTTGCGGCCATCTGGGGAATGAACCAGTGGATGGAAGACCTCTTTCTCTGTCTCTACCTCTCTCTGTAATTCTGTCTCAAATAAATAAAATAAATCTTTATTTTAAAAAAAGGTGATGATCCCCTATATGTATGAAAGCACACATGTGGAAAGCACCAGGCCTGTGCTTTCATCAGGCTCCGTAAGTTTGAGCTTTCACAATCCCCTGGTAGGAGATACAGACTTGGCCTCACCACATTTTTTTTTTAAGATTTATTTATTTATATGAAAGAGTTACACAGAGAGAGAAGGAGATTCAGAGAGAGAGAGAGGTCTTCCATCCGCTGATTGGCTGCAGTGGCTGGAGCTGTGCCCACTTGAAGCCAGGAGCTTCTTCCGGGACTCCCACACGAGTGCAGAGGCCCAAGGACTTGGGCCATCTTCTACTGCCTTCCCAGGCCATAGCAGAAGGTTGGATCGGAAGTGGAGCAGCCAGGACTCGAACCGTCACCCATACGGGATGCCGGCACTGCAGGCCATGGCTTTACTCTCTACACCACAGCACCGGCCCTCTCAACCATATTTTATTTGATGGGTGTGGTTCTTTTCCACAGAAATTTGAATTAACACGGGCTTCTCTCTCTGCAATTATGAAGTCATTAGGACCCTTCACAGTCCTTTAACTTCCTATTCAGAATGAGCACTTTGATAACTTACGGAAGAACAAATTAGATTTTTGAATAAATCCAAAAGGAAAATACATTTGCACCTGGTTAGATATGTCAGGTCCCATAAAGCTACTTTTTCTTTCCAGTTTCTCTTTCTCTTTTTAAAGTTACCTACTTGAGAGGCAGAGAAAGAAAAAGAAAGCTCCCACCTGCTGGTTCACTGCCCAAATGCCTGCAGTGGCTGGGGCTGGGCTGGAGCTAAAGCCAGGAGCAGAGAGTGCAATCCAGGTCTCCCATGTGGGTGGCAGGAACCCAAGTACTTGAGCCATTACCACTGTCTTTGGGGTGTGCCCTAATGGGAAGCTTGACAGGGGAGCTAGAAGCAGGAATCGAACCTCCCATGTGGGACGTGGGTGTTTTAATCACTAAGCTAAATGCCTGCTCTCTCCTCCCAGATTCTATAGCTATTTCTTTCTCCTGATCTATTTAGACTATTGGCATTGTTCAGGTACTAGTAGAAAGATGTCATCTAATGTATTTTGTTTCCTTATATGAATAGTTAAAAGGATGGAGTAAGTGGGTGGATGGAGAGAGAACAAGATTTCCTATTTGACATTCATAACAGGAAATGTTTAAATTCTAAATAAGACCACAAAAAGACTATTTGAAATTAGTTTAGATAATGTATGTTCTCATGATTTGGATTGAATGTTAAAGAGAAGGGGAAGCAGATGTCTTGGAAAGACTGATTTATGCTACAGTATTTCACTCTATTTATTATAAAATAAATTCAGATGTGTCACATTAGTAGCCACTTTTTACCAACCTGGAAGTTGGTAAAAAACACTAGGGCAGGTGTTGTGGTACAGCAGGTTAAACCACTGCTTGGGATTGCCCGCATCCCATATCAGAGTGCCTGGGATCAAGTATAGTTCTGCTTGCGATCTGGTTTCCTGCTAATGTGCATCCTGGTAGGCAGGAGATGATGGCCCAAGTTCTTGGGTTTCATCCACCCATGTGGGAGACCCAGATGGAGTTCCTGGCTCCTGACTTTGACCTGGCCCAGCCCCAGCTATTGAGAGCATTTGGAAAGTAAACCAGCAGATGGAATATCTTTCTCTCACTGTCTTTCCATCTTTCTCTGTCACTCTGCCTTTCAAATAAATAAATTTTTTTTTAAAGTGAGTGAATAGAAGGGAGCTGATAGTAAGTAGAAAGGCAAAGCAGTGTCTTTAAGGTCACTTAAGACCGTAGCAGTACATTCAACTCCAGGAAAGTTCTAGAAAAGTAGCTTTTTCGCAGCCTGGAAAATCCAGGCACAAATAAACAGGAAGCAGCTCAGTTAGATGCTGAGTCTGGGGGTTCCTGCTTCAATAGGAATTAATTATAGGAGGCCACAAAAGAATTGCTGTCTGCTTTTTCACAAAAATAAAAGAAAGTAAAAGATATTGACTGTGAACCTAAGCATAGGCCAGTCAGTCAGTAAATACTCCTTTATCATCTCTTCTTTTCCTTCTTCTCCTGCTCTGGATAGAGACAGATGAAGACAGCAGTCCACCCAAAAAGGACAGAGAAAAGAAAGGGACTTCCTCCCTTCCTGTCTCTTCATCCCCTCCCGAGCCGCCTCCAGGACAGTTTGCAGGAACTGGCTTACAGTTGTGTTGCTAACCAGGATGGGATGAACAGGAGGAGCAGCACCCCTGCACACCTCTGTCTTCAGCCCGACAGGAGAGCTGGGAGGAAAGGGTTTGCAGAAAGATGTGACTACATTTTGAAGAATCTGATTCTTTATTTTCCTACATTTTAGTTTCATTCTTGTTTTACTAATAATTACAGAAGGAGATTTTTGCTTAGTACATGAAGTATTTATCCTGAAAATGAGTATTTTAAGGTTTAGATATTGGCTTTCTTCCATTGCTAAAGCCTCAGGGAATAAGCACAATATGAAAATAACCTGTAATAATAATAAAAAAAATTTTTCCTTTTTTCCTTTCCTGTACTTATGTTCCAGTTTTTCAAAAGAGCTCTTCACCTAACCATACCATCTCCCTCTCTTGTATTTTTCTCTTGTTTTCATAGTTGCTTTCATTTTCTCACTATTGACTTCCTTCACAGCATGACATAATCTGGCTTTCACCCCACTGTTCCATTGAGCAGTATTTTAATGGGAAGGAATCTACAGATTATCTGATACAAGCTCCTCATTTTTAAAATAAGAAAACCTCATTAGCTTTAAGTAGCTTGGAGAAAGCAGAGGTGGCAAGGACTTAGCCCAGAGAGCGTCACTTATCATTCTCTACTCATGGCAGACATTAGTAGTCGATTTTGTATTCTGATTGTCCTTCTGGGTAAGCTCCCTGAGTCCTTCTTGACAGAGCTCAGTAGGTATCCAGTGCCAGTCATTCAATGTCAATACTACATTCCTAAATCTTTGCCATCCTTAGCCCATAATAATCACATATAGACATGAACACTTAAACAAAAACACTATATCACGATCAGTTACAAGGAGTCATATTTGATGGGAAGCCAGAGAAGTAGAATAGTGAAGGCAAGAAAGCAAAGACTTCCCAGTTTTGAGCAGTGACTTGGAGTGTGAATAAAATTTAAATAAGCAGAAGGGAAAGAAAAGAGAATTCTTAGAGGGGAAATTTCTTTGTGAGCAAAGGCTTAGGCTGTTCAGAGCCAAGCATACAATTTTGCTAAAGGAGGTGCCTCGGATTGGGAAATAGTGGAAAGATGTTGGAAAGATAAATTGGGGGTTGTGAGTAGGAGCTCGTAAGAGCGCAACTAAGAAATTAAAATTTGGGGGCCAGCACTGTGATGCAGCAGGTTAACACCCTGGCCTGAAGCGCTGGCATCCCACATGGGCACCAGTTTGAGTCCCGGCTGCTCCACTTCCAATCCACCTTTCTGCTATGGCCTGGGAAAGCAGTAGAAGATGGCCCAAGTCCTTGGGTCCCTACACCCATGTGGGAGACCCAGAGGAAGCTCCTGGCTCCTGGCTTCAGATTGGCACAGCTCGGCCGTTGCGGCCATCTGGGGAGTGAACCATCAGATGGAGACCTCTCTCTCTTTCTCCCTCCCTCCCTCTCTCTCTCTCTCTCTGCCTCTCCTCTCTCTGGGTAACTCTGACTTACAAATAAATAAATAAATCTTAAAAAAAAAAAAAGAAAATAAAATTTGATTCTGTGGAAGCAGGTATTTGGCACAGTGGGTAAGATGCCACTTGGGATTCCCATATCCTATATGGGAGTATCTGTCTCAAGTCCAGGGTCCAGCCTCCAATTCCAGCTCCCTACTAATACATACCCTGGAAGGTAGCAAATAATAACCCAAGTGGTTGGGTCCCTGCTACCCATGTGGGAATCTGGGATTGAGTTCCAGGCTCCTGGCTTCAGCCTGGCCCAGCCCTGGCTGTTGTGGGCATTCAAGAGTGAATTCACAGATGCAACATCTCTGTCTCTCTGCCTTTCAAATAAAGTGAAAAAATAATTTTTTAGAAAATGTTATCCTGTGGATTAAAATCTGGAATTTTTTTGAGTGAGTCGTAGTGTTAGCAGCAGAACTCATTGGTAATGTGCAGGAAGAGTCAACTGGGAGAATCTTGGGGCATGCTGGGAAGTGATTCTGTTTCCAGGCCTGAAGAAATAGGGGTTTGCACTGAGGGAGTACCTATGGGAAACAAGAGAGGAAAAAAAAGATCAAAGATGTCATTTTAAAAAAGAGAGACAGAATTTGGTGACTATGCAGAAAAGATATTGGGAAGAAGAGAAAACCAATTGCTCTTTCATAAAATGAATGAGGGTACCTTTGAGCTAAAAAGAGAGGAAGAATGAGCTGATTTTGGAGAAAAGATGGAGTCCCTGTTTAGGTTTGTACAACTTGAGATGGCTCTGGCATATTTTTTTAATACTGCAAGGAGAAAACCACATCTTCACTGTCTACTTCAAAACTCCTGTAGTTTGCTGTGAGTATCAGGAAACACCTGTGGTTCTGCACTTCGGCTTTGACCTCACCGATCAAACTCTGTGCAGTTGCCACCGTAGCCATTTGGGTGGTTTGTTGATAATCTGGGTCTTTTGAATCTGGTCACAGAGCAAGTTGATGTCCTTTCTTCCTGCTTTACAAAATATCTTTGTTTTTGTGGCCCTTACATGTATGGTTTATATTTCTTTGGCTTTACTGAGATTTTCTCATTTTGTCTCAAAGAATGTTAAATCTACATAGAAAACAAGTTTCCACAAACAGGGTATCTTCCTTTGTTTTCAAAGGATGCAAAGTGTTGTCAACCGACTGTCCAAGTTACTGAAACCTGGGGGAATGCTGTTATTTCGGGACTATGGAAGATATGACATGACCCAGCTTCGTTTTAAAGAGGGTAACAGTATATTCAGTTTGGGATTATTTTCATGTGTTTTAATGAATGCCTTGTTAATGTTTCATGTCAAATTATTTTGGTTTTTATTGTTTTGTTTACTTATTTATTTATTCTGAGGAATGCTAAGTTTCTCTTTTCACTATTTTTTTTTTAGGGCATTGTTTATCTGAAAATTTCTATGTTCGAGGAGATGGTACCAGAGCATATTTCTTTACAAAAGGTATGCTAATCTTCAGGAGGAAATAATGAGCTATAAAATCGCTGGTTAGTATTTGTAAGGAGAAGCTGAAAAACTGTAAGAATGAAGCTTCAATCGTTGATTAAGCATTGAATGTCTTCATACTTTGGTGCCTGTCACTGTTTCACATAAAAGCTTGAAAATGGCCTTTGTGTCTTTTCATCTTTTCCTAGTTAAAACTGCTTGAAGGAATCCCTTGTTTCATACCCATACCCCCATGGATGTACAGACTGTTCCATTTTGGAGATATTGTTATCCCAGAGATGAAAAATGTGCCTGATAGGCCACAGCCAATAGAGGAAATTTTATGATGTAAGCCCCAGAAAATGACTTATCTCTTATCAGTTTCTCATTTCAAGAAAATATTTCTGACAGCACCAAATAAATCCTACATTCAAGGATTTCCCAGGTCTTCCTTGTGTACCTTTATTATGTGCCATGTTGAGTCGTAGAACCAACATGAACTCAGGAGGAGGCACCTCTCAAAATCCTAAAAGCTGTAACCAATAGTTTTGTGTCGACGTCTGTGCCCACTGTGTTAGCTTGTGCACACTCAGTATGTTTTTGTGAAGTACAAGAAACTTGGTTACACAGGTTTCCTTCAGCAAGTTGTACTAAATGATCTTTCTTGGTGTGTGTAAAATTTAGATGGTCAGCCATGCCTCCCCTCCCCGCCCAGTCACATGTCATATCTTTAACTGCTGTTCTTGTCTCATAGGGGAAGTCCACAGTATGTTCTACAAGGCTGGGCTAGATGAAAAGCAAAATCTGGTTGATCGTCGCTTACAAGTTAATAGGAAAAAACAAGTGAAAATGCACCGAGTGTGGGTTCAAGGAAAATTCCAGAAACCATTGCGCTGGACTCAAAATATCTCTAAATTCATGTTTTCACTCCTTCCTCCTCACTGAACTGAGTTCAATGTTAAGGTACAAAACCAGAGTACTACACTATTCCAATAGCCCTGCAAATATTTCCTTTCTCAAAAGATAATCAGAAGAAAAGAATTTGTAAGCCCTGCTGTTTTACCATGGGTGAGCCCTTTTGTGCATTTCAAGCACATATTTCAAAGTGTACCTCATTGTCTTTGTTTTCAACACTTGATAAGCCATCACTTGCTTGGGTGTACTGCATGTGACCATTGTTTGTTTATTGAATTTTATAAGCATTAATAAATTACTGACATAATTCAGGTAATTTTGAAAAAATTACCTTTTTTTAGAAGAGGAAAAATCATCTCCATTATCCATTGGACTTAGTAAACCATTTCCAAAGCAGTCAACATTCTGCCATTACCAGGTGATAGTGGACACAGCATGCCTTGTTTCCAGGGAAAGCTTCAACAAGCCCAAGATCAAGGTGCAGTGCTTTTTGTCATGTTGTATGTTGTCTGTTTTCTGCTAAGCTTTTTTTTTTCTTCTTAAATTCTTAAATTCTGCAATACAATTTTAGTTTCTCTTTCTTTCCTAAAATTGGGGAAGTGTGGCCCTTGCTCACATACTTTCAGGCTATTCTTGGACGTACAAGTTGCTCTATGCTCTTTTTAAGGCAACTGTCATACCCAACCATGCAAACTCCTGTAGCAGTTAAACAATTTATTCACCGTTTTGATTCAAAAAGAATACAAGTCAGCTTGCAAATTACACCTCTTAAAAACTGAGTTTCTGAGATTGGTCTTTCCTTCATTATGCAATATTTTCTGACTACTTACATTGTGCTGAGTCATATGAGATAACACAATCAATAAAGACCCAGCCATGTCTTCAGCAAGCATAAACAGGGTCTAGCTGAAGAGCAAAATGTGCTTATTTCAGACCTCTAAATCATGACCTAAGATCATATGAACAAATATTTGATGGAACAAAGACATAAGCCTCAGCCATTCTCACTCATTGCCCAAGAGATAGATAAACGTTGGATAATAATAAACATTATTCCTTACACTTGAATCTCAAGTAGGTGTGACACCCTATTGCCTTCATACCCCACCCCCACATTCTTTCCCAGGTTCCCAAGGCCCGGCAAGGCCACCTGGAAGACCAGTTCCAGGAATTCACCTCCGCTTGCTGCCCCCTACCCACACCTCCATCCCTAGCCCTCCTAAAATATAAAAAGGCCCAGCCCCTGGGGTCAGGGCCTTCTGCCAGGTGTTCCATCAATGTACATGTCAGCAGTTGGTCACCCACCTCTATGAATTTATTTTCTCTGAATAAATTCGGTCTGGCTATAGATTACTATAGTGCCTCCTCTCTATTCTGCCCCTCTTTTCCTAACCATACCAGCTAGTGGACTTTGATTATGAGCCACAGAAATCTGGAACAAAAGGTTGGACTCTTGAAAAGGTCACCATGGAATGACTCAGTTCCAACTGTTTTTCCTTTGAAGTCACTTAAAATTCAAGTTCCTGGGAGAATGTAATCCATCCAGCTTGGGCCGTGGGTTCATCTCTTGACAGACTGGGGCAGAGCAGCTTAATTGCTGCTGCCAGCCAGAATTTACATATAGAGTGGAAGGAAGTTTCTCCCAGGAAAGAGGGGGAATGGGTGCGTTTGACGCAGCCGTTACGATAGCCCTTGACGTGCCTGCATCGCATATCTCAGTGCCTGGGTTTGAGTCTCAGCCCTGCTCCACATTCTGCTTCCCTGCCCATTCACAGCCAGGAGGCAGCAGGTAATGGCACAAGTTGTTGAGCCCCTGTCACCTGTGTGGGAGATCCAGACTGAGTTCTGTCTCCTGTCTTCAGCCTTGCCCGGTCTTGGCTGTTGGAGGCATTTAGAATCTGGGGAGTAAACTAGTGGATCGAAGAGTTCTCTTTCCCTCTCTCCCTGTCTCTTCCTCTCTCCTCCCTCCCAAATAAATAAATAAAATTAAAAAAAAAAAAAAAACAACTAAGTAAGCCACTATATTGTTTTTAAAAGATAGGGATGAGAGGCCAGCACCATGGCTCACTTGGCTAATCCTCTGCCTGTGGCGCTGGCACCCCAGGTTCTAGTCCCGGTCGGGGCACCGGATTCTGTCCCTGTTGCTCCTCTTCCAGTCCAGCTCTCTGCTGTGGCCCGGGAAGGCAGTGGAGGATGGCCCAAGTGCTTGGGCCCTACACCCACATGGGAGACCAGGAGGAAGCACCTGGCTCCTGGCTTCGGATCAGCGCAGCGCGGCCACAGTGCGCTGGCCACAGTACGCCGGCCGTAGCAGCCATCTGGGGAGTGAACCAACGGAAAAGGAAGACCTTTCTCTCTGTCTCTCTCTAACTCTGCCTGTCAAAATAAATAAATAAATAAATAATAAGATAGGGATGAGAAATGCGTAGTCACAGCACATAATATGGTGGCATTAGCATTAGTCATAATAGTTCCAGAGAGAGAGAGAGAGTCAGGCTTCTGGGAGAAGTTCATCCTTGAACTTCAGAAGATGGCAAGAAGACAAGTCTGGGTTGTATGGGACATTAATGGTGAGGAATAACAGAGGAAAGATGTGGAAGGAGCTGACAGTCTAAAATAGCAGGTGTGTTCACCTCCAGTCTCCGAACCGGAGCCATCCGAGGTTGGTTGGTTGATTTGTTTTATCCTAGCCATGGTTGGCTATAAATAGAATATTTGGAGAGATTGAGAAGTTGTCTTCAAAACAGTGTGAGTGGCAAGGAAGAGGAAGACCATGTAAAGGTTTTTGTGCACATTTGCCTTGGTGTCAGTGCTTACAAGTACAGGTAGGAAGTTTTCTGTTGACACATGTATGTCAGTCAATGTAAATGTTAGAATTTTCCTGAGATGCCTAACTCACTTGTATTTCATAATTAAAGTATACATTTAAAACATTTAAAAGTCAAACTAGTAATGAAAGTATTACATACAACAAGGGCAGTTTAGATAAGTTAATGTTGCTATGGGAACCCCAGCAGATCTTCTTGTGTCTCGATTTAAAAATCATGGCCCAAGGTGGTTTTTAAAAACAACAGAAGGTAAAATTATTCTCACATTCTCACACATGTAAATTGTACTGTCTCTCTTAGTTCTAAATAGCAGACTCAAGCCAGCCTCTTGACTGGCACAGTAAAATTCAGCTTCATGTCTTTCTATAATGTATTACAGCATGTGAGCTAACCTTTAGAAGTTTCAAAAATACATCAACCAAATTTGGACTGTAAGACACACACTGAGCTCCTCTGGGCTGGGGCCAGCACCGGCCTCCTAGTCCACGTGGCTGCACAGCTGGGCCCTTCCTGCCCATGCCTCTTGCTCTCTGGCCTGGCTCCCCCCTGGCCTGCCTGAGTCCACCTCCTCCTCCAGGTTAGACAGAAAGGTGGATTTAGGGGAGAGAAAGAAAAGGCAAAGACCTAGTCGGAATTTCTCCTATAGATATTAGGAAATCTGGGAGTGTTGCAATTGTATCTGTCTGGGTATTGGTTGAAAATAATTCCAATTCCCCCATCACATCCGTAAAGCCAGGAGCAGTCGGTTAGGCAGAGCTGGATATTTAAACATTCATCTTCTGAGGGAGCTGAATTTCAAAAGGACCATTTTCTTTCTAATAGAACAAGGTATCTTCCTTCATCTTCTTACAATACAGAAACAAATGTATTTCACATGCATCCTCTGTTTTTCTCCGCTTGTAAAAACTCACTTTTGAGCACTGTCCAAATGTAAAAATTCACACACACACACATACACACGTGAAGAACCGTTTCAGGAGGTTGTGAAAAAGTCAAGGTAACAGTTTCTAGTATTAAAAGTTTTGCATTCAGTTTGACACATTTTGTCCATAGCGAAACACCTAGTTAACGTTGCTCTGAGGACTTGCTTGCTTTGCTTGTCTCAGTTCCATATACTTTGTCTCCCAAATGCCAACACATCTCAGCTTCTGCCAGTATGCATTTCTAAATCTTTGCTGTACTCTGGTTTGTATGGGAAAATTCACCCAGATGCAAATAGAGGCCCTCCTGGGGCAAAACTTAAAGCCACCGGAACCATCTGGATTGTTAAACTTCAGCAAAGTCACATTCTTGCCCTAAAAGTCCTGTGCTGTGTTCCTGTGGTTTTCCAGATCATCCTGGTTCTGAGCCTGAATGTATCATGCATTGTTACTGCTAATTGGTTTTGATGTTTATTATGCTTCTCACAAGTGCAGATAACTTCACATCTGCATAGCTAATAGACCTCTTTCAAAGCCTCTGTGCTCCTTCTGCCTCTACCAGTCATCAGTAGACTACATGGTGGCGAGGGTATTTTCCCCACTTGTGAAAGCGCATTATAAATTCTAGAGCACTGAATGTATGTGAAGTATTGTTATTAATAACGGCATTTGCAGCCGACAAGGCAGCACACACAGTATCAACAGATACTTTTTTGATGTTTTCATGAGACATTGTGGGACAGTATCGTGCCGTGGAAAAAGTCTTGCCTCCTGGTCACACAGGAAGCATGGGGTTCTGGTTCCTTTTGAACCACTTAGCTACTCTTAATTTAGCTGAGTGCTAAGTTTTGTACACACTCCACACCTTACTTCATTTCATCATGAAACTCCTGTGAATTATATTTTTACAACCATTTAGCAGAAGAGAATGGTGGCTCTAAGCTGATAGGTACTTGCCCAGGATATCACAATAAATGGCAGAGGCACCTTTACTCCCCTCCCTTTGTTTGTCTGTGTCTGTGTTTAGAAGCAGAGCTACTATCTCTCATCTGTTGGTTCACTTCCCCAGATGCCTGTAACAACCAGGGCTGGACCAGACCAAAGCCAGGAGTCCAGAACCCCATCTGGGTCTCCCACACAGAGAGCAGGGACCCAATAACTTGAGCCATCACCTGCTGCCTCCCAGAACGTACATTATTAATAGGAAGCTGGAATTGGTACCACAGCCAGGCACTCAAGCAGGCAGCCCTAGAGAAGTCTTAACCTCTAGGCTGAACACCCACCCTGCCACAGTTTTTATTGATCCACTCAGAAAGGCTCTGGAGAAGAAGGAGCGCTTCTGAATCCAGTGGAGAAGTGCATTGGGTGTGAATTTGGGTCCGATGGCCTTCAAGGTCATGGCTCATTCTATATCCAGTCATTCTGTAAAATAAGAAGGGTGTACTTGTCCACAGTTACAAATTGGGAAGGAAGAGAAGGAAAGGAACTGAGAGGAATGACAAAGCAAAAAGCTTTCAATCAGTTCTTTTCAGCATTCTGCATATGTTAGTTCTGCTCCTCCCTCCCCCCAGCCAGGCTTCAGCCTTGCACTTGGCATGCCTCCTAGCAGAGCACTCATCACTTGCATACTCCTCACTTAAAGAAAAGACAGCACTCTGTACTGCAAGGAGGAAAAAAGCCCTTAAAATGTCTTCACAGGGATTCAGCTCTATCTGAATATAAAATCAGGAATTGTCGATAATAAAATACGAGTGAAAACATCTTTATTTAAAACATTGTATGTACATTAACGCCACATTAATGCCAATTCAAGCATGAAATGCTGAGCATTTCTTGGAATATGGTTTGGGATTTCAGAAGCGCAAAGCTACCTGCAGGATGACTTTGGTGCAGTTATAAATATAAATAGAAGTAAAATAACAGTTGCATCTTCATTTATAATGAATCTACATTGTGGCCTCCAAGCTACAGAGGAAAGTAGATGCCAAAATCTGTCTTTCATTAACATATGCCTTAAATGACAAGGAAGAGGTGTTGAAGACAAAATTACTTTTTCCTATGAGTATGAATCAGCAGCATGCAGTAACAAGCAAGTAATAATAGTTCTGCGTCTGAGTGCCTACAGAGAGCAAGAAAAATAGCACCACACTGAAAAAGCAAGTGCACCTGCAGGAAGGGCCCAGGAGGCCGCAAACCTCAGCTCCCCTGAGCAGCGGTTCAAAGGGCCTTGGAGTACATGGACCCCAAGCCTGGCAAGTCAGGTTGGTGTGAGATGGACAGAGCCCGTGATAACGTTGAGATGGACCAAGAAAGCCCACCCTCAGCTGCCTGGGGAGCTCATCAGGGGCAAGCTGCAAAGCCTTGCTACAGGGGCCGGTGCTGTGGCATGGTGAATAAAGCTGCAGCCTGCAATACTGGCATCCCATATGGGCGCTGGCTGCTCTACTTCCAGTCCAGCTCCCTGCTAATGCTCCTGTGAAAGCAGTGGAGGATGGCCCTAGTGGCTGGACCCCTGCACCCCGTGGGAGATGGCTCCTGGCTCCCGGCTCCTGGCTTTGGCCTGGCCCAGCCCCTGTTGCTGTGGCCATTTGTGGAGTGAACCAGCAGATGGATGATCTCTGTTTCTCCCTCTCTCCAACTCTTTCGAATAAATAACAAAACAAAACAAAACAAAACAAAAACTTAAAAAAAAAAAAAAAAAGGCCTCGCTACTCGGCTCAGGGTTCAAAACAGCTTTGGATTCTACAGTGCCTGCGGTTTCACAACCACTTACCCTTTAGTAAGGAACAGTTAGAGGCATGTGAATGAATAATGTTAACATCACATAAAGAGGAAAAAACATCAACACTTTAGGAGCACATTGACTTCAAATAGTGTCCAGGTAACTGTGTCCTTGGCATCCCAGTGATCTGCATCTTTATCTTTGATCTTCTCCAGCAGGTAGGCCCTAAGTATAGAGCCTGGGCCCCAGGAAGAAAATGTTTCTATCCAATGTTGCCTACCAAATAAAATGAGCCATTGATTGCCTCCTAAAAAGTCCCAAGCCTCAAATCTCCATCTTGGGCTGATAAGATTTGGTGCAAGGAAATTGTGCATTTTGTTATGCTTAAGAAAAATTCTTTGGCCATGTTTTCAACCCCTTGCTCCTTTTTGTGACACTTCCTAGTTCTTCCAGAAAATGCATAAATTATTTTTTCCCTCAGTTAATCTTTCTATCTCAATTTTTGGTGGTTTCCAAAAACACTAGGAAGGGCAGTCACCCATCAGGCCTTTAAGGCTTTTGCACTGGGAAAAAGTGCTGAAACTGTGTGACTGCCTCAAATTAATGGAGATACTGTGGAGTCCTTTGTCTGAGTGGGTTGGTTTATTTATTTGTTAATGCTATGTACTTAGCGCAAGTAACACCATGCAATTGCCACCTCATTTCTCTCCCCTCCTGCCTCCCAAGAGGAACCTGTCTTCCTCCTGAGGCTGTCCTGCAGAACAGAATGCTTGGCATGGAGAATGTGATAGCTCTCCATACACCTTTAATTGTCCCCCGCTCCCACAGGTCAGCTGAGACAGCCTCCCCCTAAGCAGCCTGTGGAACTCGCATCGAAAATCACCTGAAAGAGAATGGCTGAAATTACCAGCCTCACAGACTGCACTGAAGCAGGAAAGAAATTTCTGCCTCTAAGGATAATTGGTTTTCTCATTGCTCATACCTCTTCCTTCACAGCCCTCATTTATTTTAATATAGATGTTCCACTTAGACTTTCTAGAAGATGTCTTTCAAGATTTTTTTTTTTTTAATCCGAATGACAGATGAAATGCAGGAACCAGAAAAGTATTTATTCTATGTATCCTTTCCATGAATGTATTGCTAATCACCCAGCCTGGCTTCATTTGCAGCTTTGTTTCCTAACAGGACACGTGGGCTCTGGAGATTGGAGACACAAAGCTTCATTATAACCACCCGTGTGTTGCTCCCATTTCTTGTATGCTTTCTCTTCCTAACTCACTCTCCAGGTGCTTCTTTGTCTTGCCAAATAGTGCAAGGAAATACTTTTGCAGATCTTTTGTTTACTTTAGGAAAAAAACCACCGATCCAGGCTTTCCCATTCGGGAGTGCTGCTCATTTCCTGACTGGCCTTTAAAGTTTGGCTCAGTAGCAACTTGGGGATTTGTTTTCTACCCAGAGTGAAAAGAGCTGGGTGCCAGCAGCCCCATGCTGGAACAAGAACTGAGTTATGCTCATTCCCTGGGTAAGCAAGCTGATGTTTTCCTCCTCGAGTTATTTTTCCATTCTTCAAAGCGTAAATGTATAGTCACTAGCTTTGACTTTTTTGTTTAATTCAAATATTCATATGTATGCATAGTTTTAAATCAACACATAATTAATTGTATATATTAATGGGATACACTGGGATCTTTTGATATATGTTTACTGCATTTAATGACCAGATCAGGGTAATTGGCCTGCTTATCACTTCCAACATTAATCTTTTATTTGTATTGTTAGCATTCAAAATCGCCTCTACTAGCTATTTTGAAATACATAATCAGTCACTGTCAGCCATGGTTGCCTCCTGTGCTGCCATAGAACACAGTCCGCTGCAGCCCTGCACCTGTGAGCTGTCCTCTCTCCATCTGTGCCAGGCTCTGGTAACCTCCCTTCTATCCTCTACTTCCATGAGGTTAACTTTTCAGTTTCCACATAAAGTGAGAACATGCAGTATATGTTAAAAGATATGTTAATAGAATTGTTTCACCTCCAAGTGCATGCAGAAGCGATCATGTGCCCAAGTCAAGTCTCAGGAATCAAAAACCTCTCCTTCACTGCTTTTCACCTACTGTATGATACACTACATAATATATGCAGGGCTTATCCCTACTCCAATTCCAATATCAATTGCTTGGCCAAAAGAATTTGGCTTGAGATGCCTCACTTTCCAGGTCCACAAGACTGCTGTGTTAATGGACCTTTGGTTATAACATGGTTTGGACCACTTACTTATTTCATATACATCTTGTCAATTTGTGCCTTCCTCTCTTCTTTGGCACATTTACATTAAATTTTATTCTATGCAACTGCATCTCTACTATATTTAAGAGGGGGTCCTCAAAAAGTTCGCGGAAGTGCATATTATGAAATGCATATTATGAAAAATCAATGCATGGATTTTGAATTTTTTGCACCAAAATAGATTTATCTTTTAATTCCATTTTTCTGTGAACTGTTTGAAGTATACTCATATGTTTATATGTGAATATGGATTATTCTTGTTTCATCCTACTTGGGTGAATTTATTCATAGTTTATTATAAGATCAGTAAATTTTCAAAGAGAAAAGCTTTGTGAACCCAGAGCCTATACTTTTATATATTAATGCATTTTTATTTACATTAAAAGATGTTTTGGAGGGCTGGTGTTGTGGCATAGCGGGTTAAGCTACCTCCTGCAATGAGGCACTGGTTTGATTCCCAGTGGCTCTGGTTCCAATCCAGCTCTCTACTAATGTGCCTGGGAAAATAGTGGAAGATGGCCCAAGTGCTTGGGCCCCTGCTACAGGTGTGGGAGACTTGGATGGAGTTCCAAGCTTCTGTCTTTGGCCTGGCCTTTGTGGCCATTTTCCCTAGATATACCACACAGCAGACTCACAGAATAACAAACACCCTAAATAGCACTCTGACCTCAGAATCAGCCATAAAGCATTCTGATTTGGCTGAAAAGCCCAAGAAAGCATTTCAGACATGGAAAGCCAAGACACTGTGGCAAAAAAATGATCTACATGAAGGATCTCTGTGAGTGAGATCCCAGTGGAAAGAAGAGGCCATCAAAGAAGGATGTACTTTTCTCTGAAGGGAGGAGAGAACTTCCACTTTGCTTATGGCCTTGTCTAAATACTGATGGAGTTTGTGGACTCAAAAGGCTTCCATGGCCTTGGCAGCTCATGACAAGAGCCTCAGGTGATCACTGACGTCATAAATAAGAGTGCCAATTGTTAAATCAACAACAGGAGTCACTGTGTACTTACTCTCCATGTAGGACCTCTGTCCTTAATGAGTTGTACTTTGAGAATTAATGGTAAAACTTGTCTTCAAACAGTATTTTATACTTTGTGTGTCTGTGTGGGTGCAAACTGTTGAAATCTTTACTTAATATAGAGTTGGTCTTCTGTATATAAAGATAATTAAAAATGAATCTTAATGAAGAATGGGATGGGAGAGAGAGTAGGAGGTGGGATGGGAGTGTGGGGGTGGGGAGCTGGTATGGGAGGAAAATGCTATATTCCTAAAGCCGTACCTATGAAATTTGTAAAAAATATGAAAAAAAATAAAGGAAAGCAACAGCCTGAAAAAGAAAAAAGATCTCTTTATGTCTCCCTCTCTCTTTGTATCTGTGCTTTCCAAATAAATGAAATAAACCTTGGCAAGGGGTAGATGTTTGGTTAGGAAAGTAGAAAACACTGACCAAGATCTTAAAATCTTAAGGGAGGATATTGATTTTTTAAGGACTTCATTTATAATATGGCAAATAAAATACCATATTCAGAGTAGTGCAAAGACAAGGCCATTGGCATAGATGCAGTCCAGTTGAGGAAGCACCACCTCAGCATGATGACTAGGGGCCCAGGGCTCATCACTTCCCTAAGCTTAGGCAGGCACAGGCAGGCACCTTGAAGAAAGGCTGGCCCCCAGCAGAAGCAAGCAGTACTCTGGCCTTGGAAAGAGAATGCAGTATTCATAGGCAGATCAGGCAGATTGCACTCCAGTGACCCAAAGACAAAATCAGGGGAGATTGTAGCAAGAGGGACTTGTAACTGAATCTTATAGGACTGGACTGTATGTTAAATACCCCTACCTGAGCTCAGAGGAAGAGCCAGAGAAAGCACCTGACTGAGCCTGGAAAATGGGAAGGCTGCAGAGGCGAGGAACTTTTTTTTAACCTGCTTACCTGAGTTCCAGAACTACCACAGAAGTGGCTGGTAAGACATCTTGTTCTTCACACTTGTTAGAGGAGCAAAGGTTCACTTTTACCTGATTCTTTTGATTCCAGAGGCCTTGGACTTTGATCTTTGTTTTCCGCATGACGTGTCACAGGCGTGACTGCTGATCCCGTTGTAAGCCTGCAGATATGGGGCCCAGCGGTTGGGAGAAACAGAGAGGTGCGAGGAGGAGGTGCGGGAGGAAGGAGACTCCGGCCCATTGTCTCCATTCCCAGTGTGAAGGACAGTGCCCTGCTCCTGCTTTCTAGAGGGCACAGATTAGGTATCAGCATGATAGGGTCACCAAGAGATGCAAGATCTATGATCCTCCTCGGAGAGAGTGAGCAGAGGGCAGGTGAAAAATGCAGACCAGATAAGAACACAATACAGAAACACTGTCATCTAATGAGGTGTGAGAGAGGCCTCAAAAATATTTCCCCCACATACTCTGCCCAAGTTTTAAACCAGAGAGACTACAGTGTCAACAAATGAAGACTAAAATTAGCTGAACTGTTGATGCAGCTGATACTGGGGAAAGTGGCTTTGAGTGTGTGGAAACAACTGCCCTCCTAACCCTGACTCAGAACTAGGACCCACAGCTAGACAGCCACTGGACTGGCTCTAGGAGGTGTATTGTAGAGAACCTTTCTCCCAGAGGAAGAGTGAGGAAGGGCTGCTCTATCTCCCACAGCACTTGTCACATAAGTCACTCCTGGAGTGCCAGGGATGGGGAGATCTCAACTCCACAGATTGATTTCATTGTCGTTCCTCCAAGTAGCAAGAAACAAAGGGGAATAGGGTTTGCCTACACCTTTCCCAAGCGCTGGGAAGCATCGCCACGTGTATCAAGGCAGGTGGGAGGTGGGGTGTTGGGCTCCACTTTGGCCCTGCGGCGTTGCTTACCAGCGTGCTTACAGAACTACGCTGTGGGTGGGGCTTCAGCATTTATACATAAAGCAGAGGCGGCGCTTGTGGTCTGTGAGCGTTGGTCTTCAAGATGGATGGAGTGGGCGGGGCAGAGGGTGCCGCCCTCCGCGACTGGGATCCTGGGAACGGCCAGCCGATAGATTTACAGAGTTATAACCAGAGACTTGTGACCGGAAGCCTTGCTCAATGCCACCCCAGCAACCGGAAGGGCCAGCAGCGACGCCCCGCCCCCTCTCCTACTGACCCCTGGGAGCGGCTAACTCCACCCGGCGCTTCTCAGACTGAAGCGAAGCGCTGCTTCGGGCTCTTTTCCTCACGTCCAGTCGGTCACGATCAAGGTTTCCGGAAGGCATAGTGGAGACAAATCACTGGAAAATACAAAACCAAAGGGTGTGCTCTGGTGCCGGCCATTTTTGTGTCGCTTTCTGTCCTCGCTCGCAGGTGGGAGGTGAAGCTGTTCTCAGGCCAGCAGGGGCCCACAGTTGAGGAAAGTCGCCGCCATTGCTCTCTCCCGCTTTGCCGCCTCCACTCTGTTGTTGCTCTTCACCGGCGCACCCAGGGCCAGCCCCTGGGCTCTAGAAAATATTCGTTCGTGGTGTCCAGTCGCTTCTCCCTGGTGTCTTCTTTCTCCACGTGGTTGACCGTGTCCCGGCTCTCCCCAGGCCCCCTCATGGCGATTGTTCCTTTATCAAAATCTGGCAGCTTGTGAGAATGGAAAAGCAATGCAACATCGTGTCTCGGTGGACTTAGAGTGGAGGGGGAGGCCATTCTCGGCTCTTCCTGAAGTCGCACCGTGTATGGGTGTGTGTTTCACTGTGATATATGAAATGCTGGCTTGAAGCCAGACTCAGGGAGCATGGAGAACGTGGGGAAAGGCCAGAGACAGAGAGAAGATTATTAATGGCTTGCTTATAAGAGCCATGAGGAGAGGCTGAGGAAAATGTGCTTATTTGCCCTGAAAGGAAAGCATGCTAGAAGACGAGCAGGAGAGCTCCCAGGTGGAACCAGGTGAAAAGGAATCTCGGAGAGGAAACATGGGACCACTTTGGACATAAATCCTAGCTTCACTGTTGTTGGCTGTGGGACCTGAAGCCAGACACTTAACGTCTCAGAGCCTCAGGATCCTCACCTGCTCAATGGAGATGAAAATGCCTGCCTGCTGCAAGGACCAACTACACTGCATGAAGCCTGGAGGGGATGGGTGCTTCATCAGTGGTAATTAATTAATTAATTATTAACAGGTTTTTTCTTTTACACAGGGTGATGATCAAGACTCCATTTCTTTTGAGGAGAAAAGAATTAGAGACTTCCTGCTATAGAAATCATTTAAATTAGCCGGAAGAAACTGTTCCTGACTGTAAATATTTGAGTTTTCTTTTTTTAAGAAACCAAAAAAAAATGATTTATTTATTTATTTGAAAGTCAGAGTTACAGAGAGAGGGAGAGACACAGAGAGCGATCTTGTATCCACTGGCTTACTCCCCAGATGGCCTCAACAGTCAGGACTGAGCCAGGCTGAAGTCAAGAACCAGGAGTTTGATCCGGGTCTCCCACATGGGTGGCAGAGGCCCAAACACTTGGGTCATCTTCCACTGAATTTCCCAGGCCATTAGGAAGGAGTTGGACCAGAAGTGGAGCAGCTGGACATGAACCAGCATCCATATGGGGTACTGACATTGCAGACAGCCACTTTACCCACTATGTCACAAAGCTAGCCCCAAAAGTTAAGTTTTCTTATTCCAGAAGTTTGTTGCTATTTCCCTGACTTCGGTTCAATTTAGGTCAATATTATTAAGCAGTTACTGTGTACCAGAAACTGTTTGACCCCGTGAATACTTACATGACTAAAACTTGGCCCTGTTCTTTAGATGTGGTTTTGATGTAGTTTAGTTTTTTTTTTTTTTTTAAGATTTATTTTATTTATTTGAAAGACAGAGTTATAGAGAGAGGTAGAAACAGAGAGAGAGGTCTTCTATCTGCTGGTTCACTCTCCAGATGGCCACAATGGCTGGAGCTGCGCCGATCCAAAGTCAGGAGCCAAGAGCTTCTTCTGGGTCTCCAATATGGGTACAGGGGCCCAAGGGCTTGGGCCATCTTCTGCTTTCCCAGGCCATAGCAGAGAGATGGATCAGAAGAGGAGCAGCTGGGACTAGAACCAGCGCCCATATGGAATGCCAGTCCTCCAGGCCAGGGCTTTAACCTGCTGTGTCACAGTGCCGGCACCCCCTTTTTTTTTTTTTTTTTTAAGGTTTATTTGTTTGAAAGGCAGAGTTACAGAGAGAATATGAGAGAGAGAAAGAAAATCTTCCATCCCCTGGTTCACTCCTAAACAGCTGCATGGGCCAGTCCTTAGGCCAGGAGTCAAGAACTCCATCCAGGTCTCGCATGCACATGAGTGACAGGGACACGAGCACTTGGGCCATTTTCCTCTGCTCTCCCAAGCACATTAACGGGGAGCTGGGTTGGAAGAGAAGCAGTCAGAACTCAAACCTTGCTAGTGTTACAGGCTTAACCTGCTGTGCCACAGTGCTGGCTCCATAGTTACAGTTTTGACATAGCCCAGCTTACGGTATTTTTCCTTTTGCTGATATTCCCTGTGACATCAAATTGATGAATCTCAAATCAAATGCCAATTCTATGTCCCATCTCCCAAATCCTAAGCTTGGCACTGGAAATAAAGCTTCAAAGAGCTTAAAATATAATGAGATCTTGATTTATTTAAAAATAAAACCATCAATTCTTCTTTGGCACAGGATTATTTTGCAAACATTGAATCACATTTAAATAAGAGAGTACTTCAAAAAGTTAATGAAAGGGGTTGGCGTTATGGTCCTGCAGGTTGAGTCACCACCTGCAATGCTGGCATCTTATATGAATGCTGGTTTGGGTCTCAGCTGCTCCACTTCTGATCTAACTCCCTGCTGATGTGTCTGGGAAAGCAGCCGAAGATGCCCTGAGTAGTAAGGTCCCTGCCACCCACGTGGGAGATCCAGATGGGAGTTCCAGGCAAACTTGGGAGGTAAGAGGCAATGGAGAAGTTTTCATGTTACCAATTTTGGCACGTCCTTGACTTTCAAGAACATCTAGATTAGGTGACTGTCATAGTCCATCTGGGTTGCTAATGCCATTTACTGTGCAGCTTATAAACAAACTGATTCTTAGAATTCTAGAGGCTGGAAAGTCCACAACAAATGCAGATTCGGTATCTAAGGATGGCACAGATAGCGCCTTCTTGCCATATCCTCACATAATAGAAGGGATGGCCAGTCCTCCTCAGGGCCCTTTTTCAAGTGCTCTCATCCCATTAGCCCCCATGACCTGGTCACCTCCCAAAGGATCCTCCTCCTAACACTATCATTTTGGGGCTAGGATTATAGCATATGAATTCTGAGTAGACACAAACATTCAGAACACAGCAATAACCAAGTTAAAAATCTTAGTCATCTGAAAAGAG